GAGTTCAGAGCAGCCGGTGATAGCACGCCGTGCTGAGCAAAGTCAAAATCGATAAGAGCTAAAAAACGCTGCAAAGCTAGCTCTTGAGGCCTGGTTTAGTACCAAAGTTTTTTTTCAAACTTTCAACTTTTTTATCACATCAAAACTTTTATACACACAAATTTCTAACTTTTTCATCACATCGTTTCAATTTTAATCAAACTTTTAATTTTGACGTGAACTAAACACACCCTGAGTCTTGAATTTCATGCCACACACTTGATATCACTTAACAGTACGGCCAATCCTTTAAGCATGCTCACCAGAGTCATCATACAGTACAAGTGTACCGTATTTACAAGGGTTCCCTATTTACAATATCTTGAGCTCCTGTTTGGACGTGTTTGATTGCGCAGGCAAGCAGTACCAGTGTACGATAGTCCTAAAAAAATATAGACTTTCGATAGTAATATCTCGAGCTCCTGTTTGACAAGCGAAATGTATCGCATTCACCGGCCGGCGCGGTGGCGCCACCCGGTTCTCTCATCTCATGTCACAGCCGGAGACCGGAGTGACGCGCACACGCGAAATGAGACAATCCTTTCTTCCGTGGGGCGTATGACATGCAACAGAGGATTTTGTCTCTGCGGATGGACAGGCGCTGTTGAGTCGCGCATGCCGGCCGGCCGGCCACACCTCTTGTACTTTGCGTCCACTGCTTCTGTGTGTGTGCTGCCTTTTCACGTCGTACAGCTGATGCTAATGGCAACAGTGTACAGTACAATACTCCGAGTGTAAGATAAACGTGTGTTTTGATTCTTATTCTGTGATAAACAATTGGTATATGTGGTTATTGGTTTTGATATTTGGAATTTATTCACGAAGTGGTTTTAGAGATAATTGATTTTCAGGTGATGAACAGGGTTTGTTGTATTGTCGGGATCGGTCAGACCGGGCGGTGGTTGCCGGTCAGACCGGCGCTATGTGAGCGGCGGTCAGACCGGCTTGCCCTCGGTATGACCGGCCGACGCTGTGTCGGTTTCGGGTTGTTTCTTTGGATATCCGTGATTGTTTCATGGCTATGTCTTCTAGATGGATACTATACATATGTAATACTATTGTTTGCTAACAATGAGTCAAGTAGGTGATAGCTTGGTCTCAGAATATGGTTTCTTTGTTTGTTTTATGTGTAGGTGACTCGATGCCTTGGGAGAGTATTTGCGGTGATGGATCGGGAGTCGGCTTGGTGGTAAGACGATGTCCGTGGTGGTCAGATATCATGCGCGATACTTAGGCTAGAGTTGATGCACGTGGTTGGTGAAGATTCCATATGGCATACGATGGAGGTATTATGTGCGTATGGGATGCGGAGTCGAATTTGGAAGGAGTCTAAATTTGGTACGATTGGTTATGTAAAGTTTCTTTCTTGTACTAGATGGTTTCCTAAGGTGTTTAGGACTCATAGTATGAGTTTGGTTCATGGTTTTAGGCTGCCAACCTCATGTATAAATAGAGGGGGAGGGTGAGGCTTCCCGGTATCGTTTTTGAGAGCAATTGAGTTGCTAGTTTAGTTAGGGTTTTGACTTTAGTCGAGATTTTTGTAAGGAGTGCTGTTGGTGCACTTTGTAAACACAGAGAGAAGTAATAAAGGTATCATATACTTTGAGAGTTCTTCGATTTGTGTTTCATCGGGTTTCGACGGTCTAACCGGCGACTCACCGGCGGTCAGACCGGCGACGCACCGGCGGTCAGACCGGCTAGGGCGCGGCAGTTGATCAGGCAATCAGACCGGTGTTCCAATCTCGGTCATACCAGTGGCTTCCAAGCGGTCAGACCAGCGCATCTACTTCGGTCAGACCGAGATCCATCGATTTCGAGGGTAACTTTTATTTCCGCTAAAAGTTTAAATTTTTGCGTATACCAACCATTCACCCCCCTCTCTGGTTGGTTTAGTTCTCATGATTCGATTCTACACGGAGTTCTTAGTCTTTTGCCAATGAAACCAGCAGAAAGAAGCGTACGGGAAGGCAGGCCCCTAGGCATAAAAACATCGTTCTCCAACTGGACTGAATTTTAGGTTGGTTACTGGATGAATGTGAATGGATAGGCTGAATATTCTGGAAGCTCGTTTCACACCGAGTTTAGCAGTTGACCATTCCCACATCACCCAATGGGGGAATTTGAAGAAAATAATAATCTTGTAGTCTTGTCCTCGTGTGGTGGTGTGGAACTACGTTTGCGGCATTAAAAAAAATCTATGTTGGTGAGTCCACATCTAGTGTCACAAAATAATATTTCTTGGAAGAGGATAAGCCGACCTATATAAAAAAGTGTTACGGATAAAACAGAAAAGATAATGGTTAATGTTGTAATAGGAGGCAAAAAATCATCCCATATTCAACCGAAACAGTTTCTCATTCGCCAACCAAATAAACTTTTACTTATGGTAAATACTTAATGCAAATACAAAATGACCGGCGTCTCGAAATAAGCATTCAAGCCTACGACAAGAGAAAAGCACTATTCAACCAGGGCGGATAAAATTTGAAGGTTAAGCCATCAAATGAGAAAAATTCCCTCGAATATACCGCGGAAATCGCTTTAACCACTATTATAAGTTGGCACTGAAAGTTTCAGGGACCACCAAATGTACAATTGTACTCTTAGAATTTAGGGGTATTGTAGTAACTTAGGCAGTGTTCTTTGTCCTGGGTTCCCAACCCCTCTCCCTCGTTTTCCACACGCATGCTTTTTAAATTGCTAAATGGTACTTTTTAAAAAAAAAGTTTCTATGCGAAAGTTGCTTACAAAATTAAATTAATCACGCGCTAATGGATTGCTCTATTTTCCGTGCAGAGAAGATGGGTTCCCAACCCCCATTAGCAAACACACCCTTCCTGTGTATTCTTTAGGGTAAGATTGTAACTTCGTATATACATTCGAGGACTATATAAGCTGATCCTAATTTTGCAATGGCAAAATACCATACCACATATTGAACTTTACGTTTCGAGGTCATCCCATTCTCAGGATACGCACAAGAAATAATACCTTTTCGCCTATATTTGATATGTCCGTGGCTGAAGGTCTCGACAGTCAACAAATGAAGAAATCCTAATTTCTCAGTCCAAACACGAGGCGTTTCATCGGAGCTAGGCGACAGAGAGAGTACGTACACACTCGGTGGCGAAATTTCCTTACGACTATTATCCCCTGACGATTTCTGAAGCAAAGAAGACCTGAATGGCTGAATGTATACAGTAACAATGCGGTTGAGTACGCTCGCGATTGACATGATTCGGGAGATACACACTACCTTGGTTTTCCATATGTTTTTGCTCCATTCATACTAGAAACTTGGGCTGTCGTCGTTAGGACATCACCAATATATATGGTAAAAGTGGTCTATAGATAGGACCAATATAAATAAACTTTAACTATGGCAATCCTCACAATATACTCCCTCCGTTTTTTAATAGATGACGCCGTTGACTTTTTCTCACATGTTTGACCATTCGTTTTATTCAAAAAATTTACGTAATTATAATTTATTTTGTTACGAGTTGTTTTATCACTCATAGTCCTTTAAGTGTGATTTATATCTTATACATTTACATAAAATTTTTGAATAAGACGAATGGTCAAACATGTGAGAAAAAGTCAACGGCGTCATCTATTAAAAAACGGAGGTAGTATATGGATACAAGGTAGTATTAGAAAAAGAAAGAAGTAGATATAGATAATATTATTTATTTCATATAGGTCGTCCATATGCATATAGGTATTTTAGTTATTTTTTTTATATGGACTAGTTGTACAATGTTACTAGGTGGTTGAATGGAATAGTTTATTTTCTATGAAACTTTTATAATACAATGTGGATACATTGTGGATGCAACACAACTCATTCCTGCCACGTTGGTTGGTTTGCTTTTCAGTACACCTACCAGGTAGTACGTATCATTCACCCAACAAACCTGACGCCCGTATTCGGAGTCTCGTATTAACTCTCCGTGTTCTCTCTCGTGGCGCCGGTGGCACGTCAACGCATCCAACAACTAATAATAACCACCCCCCAAGTCGTACGTCGTACTCACCGGCCACCACAGGAGCACGCTGGTGCTACTACACACACTGCTTAGCTAGTCTGGTCCTCAGCTCGTCTGCGTGGAAATGCATACACACACTGACACACACAACACATATAAGTAGACTACTCCTACCCTTCATTCTCTTGTGCATGCGTGGTGATGCAGGATTGCAAGGTGCATCGAGCAACTTGCACGTTTGCACCCTGCCCAAGTCGACAGATTGTCCTTGCGAAATGCATCATGTTCCGGCATAGGTTAAGCCGGCACGGTTCCAAAGTCCCCACCCCACATGGGGGACTCAGCGTCCATGCATGCATGCGCGCTGGCTCTAGCAGTCTAGCTTTAGCCGGACGAGGAAGCGATATGAAGCGGGCAACCTGCCTAGCGGCATCAGCCGCATGCGGAGGCTGTTACACAAGACGACGATTCGTTGCCGGATTGCCGGCGGCAGTTCATCGAAGCGGGGCAGTGTGGTTCCTTCCGCTGTCTCGCGCAGCGGCTCTCACTCATGACAACGGCGGCAGGCAGGATGATGATCTTTTCCTCGTCACGGCGCAATTGAACGCGACCCACACTGCTTCTTCCCTTGCGTGTCATCAGTTCATCACTCGACTTACATCGCTAGATTTTTCGTATCAGTGTTCAACCTTTTTTCGATTTTCATGCTAATCTTCTTCCCCTACTTTCACTTGCGAAAGGGAGTACTAGTATTTATGACGGCCCATACCGCGGGCTGTAACACGATCGTTGCCACTACACAGCTCAGGTCGCATGCCACCGCCACTCGCTAGTCGCTGTTTTGTCACGGCTCACGTCACGGATGGGTCCCTTCTCTAGCGCCGACGTGGCAGGATAGCATTGATCCCGGAAGACAGTAGACCAGGCGGCCCCATGCAACGAATTTTTCCCAGTGGGAATAGAGAAACACACTACAGTACTAGTACTACACATCCAATTACTATAGTTTACTATTTTCTCCACATACTAGTACTCCATATCAGTTCTAGCAGTAGTGCAGTACTTTAAAAGCGATCAAGAAATTACCTGACGTAGCAGGCTAATGACAGCTAAGGTAAACTGAGGTGGGTATGAACAGGTTCACTACTCCTTACCAAAGGAGAAAAACGCTAAAAATAGAAGCTTATCAATCGATTTGATCACGGCAATAATGCTGCATGCGGGCTCACCTTGTGGATTAACGCCAGGCGGATGCGACAGTGACGACGCGGCCCATCCACCCGACCCCGAGCCGGCCATTGTCGAGCTTCACGTCGAACGCCGGCAGCGCAGGGCCGAGCCGAGCCCTGACGCGGCCGCCGATGTCCTCCCCGATCGCCACGGCGCGGAACCCCGCCATGCCGAACCGGGCGCGCCACTTGCCGAACACCTCGCACCGCTCCACCCGGTCCGGGCCCTCCCGGCCCACCGCGTTGGCCACCTTGCTCGCCAGGGCCGCCTCGGCCCGGGTTCTGTCCGCGCTGTCCCGGCCCAGGGTCGCGTCCAGCGACTCCAGCACGGCGCCGTAGTGCGCGCTCGCGTCGGAGAAGCGCGCCGCCATCGGCGCCGTGTTCGTGTTCAGCTCCTGCTCCACCAGGGTCACGACCCGCGGGCCCAGCGCGCGCACGCGCCGGAGTAGCTCGTCGCGCGGGTTCGCCGGCGACACGCTCTCGTCGGGCACGCGCGACAGCGTGAAGGCGAGGTTCACGGCCAGCGCCTCTCCCGGCTCGCACCCTAGCTTGGATGCCTCGATCTCCGGTGCTCGGCAGCTGACTGCCCTGAAGCGGAAGTCTATCCCGGCTTGCTGCGCGAGCTTCTTGAGCCGCTCGCATGTGGCCGCGAGCGATTGTGTCATCGCCGGGGTGAATGGCGAGGTGGGATCCGCCACGACGGTGACCTTGAGGGAAGTGGCGGGCACGCGCCGGTCGGCGAGGGCTTTGATGAGGGCGACGTGCTGCGCGGCGCTGACGTCGAAGTCGACGAGGTGGATGGCACGGTGGCCCGCCACGGCGTCGAGGATGGCGAGGTTGGCTCCGTGGAGTGCGAGGCCGAAGCATGGCGAGACGTCTTGGAGGAGTTGGCACGCCGCGCGGTGCTCACCGCTGTAGAGGTCCGCGAGATGTTGAGACGGGCCTGTGCCAACGCGGGAGGATAGGGCGGCCACCATCATCGCCACCAGCCTCTGCTCCGCGTCGCCGCGCGGGTTAGCCGACAGCTTCAGGGCAGACAGGAGAGAGGCCGCCGCCGTGTGGTTGCCATCGGCGACGGCAGCGGCTGCCTCGGAAAGAAGCTGCCGCGACGAGGCCGCGGAGATCGGCGGCGAGCTGGACGCTGACGACGAAGCCGTGGACGAAGAGGAGTTCGTCGGGGACCGCGCCAATAGCGCGGTGCTGTTCACGGCGGTCGGCAGGGGAAGCGACGGCGACGACGCGGCGGTGACGGAGTTAAGCCTCTGGATCGTGTCGCCCCAATCGGAGCTTGTGATACCAGAGCCGCAACCGCTCCCTGCCGCGTCCGCCTCCTCGTCGTCGCCCAGCAGCTGCTTCTCCAGCTCTTGCAACAAGACCAGTTCGGTCGCCGTTGCCGGCCTAGCAGCGGGCGCCCTCGCCACCGCTTGATTCTGCGCGGTCGGAACGGCCATCATCCGCCGCCGCTGCTGCATCCCTGGCATCACCGTGCGCGACGCGGTGGTCAACGACGACATCGTCGACGACGGCTGCTGCTGCGAGATACCGCCAAAACCAGACGACAAGCCGGAAATGCCATAGGCCGGCGAGGAGGCGGCCCCACCGAGCACAGCGCCGATATCCATGCGCTGCCTCACCGAGCGCAGGTACATGGCCTGCTGCGCCGCCACCTGCCGCTGCTGCTGCCACCTCTCCATCTCCCCCAGGCTCCTCTTGAGCACGCCTCCGGTGACGCCCGCGCCTCCCGCACCATCAGATCGCGGCTGCTGCGATTGTTGCCGCGCCGCCGCCTGCAACGCCGCCGATCCAACACCGTAGCCGCCGTACCCTCGGCGAGGGTCGCACCACGGCGCACCCGCCGGGTCCATGGCGAGAGGAAGGCCAAGACCAAAAACACCACGAGACACGAGAGACGCGAGAGCAAAGGCTCAATGGAAACGAGCGAGACACAGAGAAAGGAGAAATAAAAAGGCCTTTGGATGGAACGAACCTTACCGTGGAGGAATCCTACCTACAGCGGCTATAAACCGCTTGCGCCATTCAATGGCTTCCCCCTAATAAAACGCCTACCTTTTTACGGCCCACCCTGACGTTAATATACTCCCCGAATAATAAAAAAGAAAGGACTGACTCGTGGATCCACACCCATACGGCAGCAGTGACGCTGACAGTTTGGCCCCACGTCCGGTGAATCGGTGCGTGGGACCTGAGCCTTCGCTGCCGTGGATGTGGGGCCCACTCCTCCGCTCCGGTAGTGCGCAAATAGTACGGAGTAAATGAGAGGAGAGCCGGGAGGGCGATCGTGTACTCCATGGCGAAAGGTTTGGATGCGTGTGCAAGTGTAAAATCCGTAATGACGAGGTGAGAACTTGCGTGGTGGTGTGATTGTTGTGTGAAGGGATGGGAAAAAACGGGAGAGGCAGGGCGCGCCAACGCGGTGCGTTTCCAAGCGAAGCGACGACCACACGATCGCGTGCGGCGCCGCCGGCTGCGCACGATCGGGACGAAACAGCCGGCCTAGCGTGTTTAGCTGGGTGTTTTTGTGGAAACAGCTCCTGATTCCATGGCATGGTTGAATCCCTGATTTTTCTGACGAGTCATGTGGAGTCTGAATCCGTTGGTGCGGGGACTCGCGGTTGAAGAGAGAGAAACTTCTCTACAACTGTACTTCACCTGCCGCCACAGATTCGTACATGCTTACGTTTTTTGATACCGGGGTATCTTGCGGAGATAACCAAGTAACCACCACAACTTTTTATTAGCGGTAAACACATCGCTAGGGTGTTTACTCCAGTTCAGAACCGCCTTGAGGGTCTTTTCATGTGTTCTCAGTTCGCAGGGACAACTTTACTTTAGGAATCTGTCCACGTTGCTTTGCTCCGCATGATTACATAGCTTAAAAAAACCTTTGCAATTTGGCATATTTCAGGGTGCCAAGGCGATTGTTGGTTGCCTTTCTTGATCATATTAAATGCTACTCCCACTTTCATAGTTGGGGATACTACAACTACTTGCTCGCGCGGCCACGATCCATTCCTCGGGCCACACGAGAAATCCATGTGACATCCACGACAGCGATGGCCCTCGTATACTAGATGACGAGCAGGTAGTACGTGATAGAGGACGACTATACTAAAAGGTCATTGCATTGAGTCAGTGCACAACAGCATTCTTTCGTTTAAATTTTGTTCTTTTATCTAAGAAGGCAGTGTTTATGAAGGTTGTTTTTATGTGAAGATATTTGGAGTTAGCTAAGAAACTGGTGGGTAAAGCCGGTTCACCCAACTACTAGAACGTTACCGGCTTTCTGCTTACGCACCTTTTCCATATCCTAACACATATTAGTGAGATCTCATCTTTTCTATATCCTAACCCATATTTTATGGCCTTGTTTAGTTCCAATTTTTTTCTTCAAACTTTCAACTTTTCCATCACATCAAAATTTTCATACACATATAAACTTCCAACTTTTCCGTCACACCATTTCAATTTCAATCAAACTTCCAATTTTAACGTGAACTAAACACACAAAAAGTGCCTATGAAGGTTGTTTTGGCAGTGTTTTATGAAGGTTGTTTTTATAATAGAACCAATATATAGTACCAAAAAGTGCCTCACAAAAATATAATACGGGTAATATCCGTATAATTATCCGGGTAATACCCGGATTATTTACCGGATAATCCGTATCCGTCGGATACTACGTTCCCGAACCTGATCTCGTATCCGCCAAAAAAGACTCGTATTTGGACCCGATATCCATGAAAAGTCCCAGGTACCCGAATTTTCGACCGGAATTTGTCCCGAAATAATGTGGTCAAGCGGGCGGGCGGGAAATACCCACCCCATTTTCACTCCTACACCTGCATAACCACGACCGACTATTTCTTCTGCGTGAGTGCACATTTTAAGGATATGCCCACTCTAAGGTCCTATTTGAAATGAATTAAGGATTACCATATGAATTTTAGAGGATTTAATTTCCTAGGAAAATTTCCTAAAAACCTTTGTTCATAGGGAAGAATAAGAATATTTTTCATAGTATTACGTTCTTATGGTTTAATTTTATAGATAAAATAAGCAAAGAGATCTAATCTCTTGATAATTTTCCTTTATTTTGTCTGTTTAATAAAAGTTTCGACTTCGTTCTTTTCTGTGCTTAACATTTCTATATAATTAGACAAACATGGCATTTGGATTTCTATCTTTTTTATATCTTACAATTCAAAATATGGCAGGACATAAACGACAGGCAAACGACAATGAATAAGTCGGGTTGACTATTGACCAGAAATTAGTAAATTTTATATAACTACATATACTTGGATTAAATTAGCACAAAACTACATATGTAAGATAGGTTATCATAAAAATAAAATTAGATGAAAAATTTATCACGAACCTACATGTTTAGTGCCAATTAAATCACAAAACTATAATGTTCTTAGGTCCAACATAATGGTAGTGCTAGGGATTTAAATTTTAGAATAAGTAGTTTTGTGATAACTTTAATATTAAATCTGTAGTTTAGTGCTATTAAGCCTTAATCTATAGTTTTGTCATAAATTTACCATTGATCTATAGTTTTATGAAATAATACTTTAAATCTATAGTTTTATGAAACAATACCTTAAATCTATAGTTTTACAATTGTTTAGTTAAAATGCCTCTAATTTAGTGAAATGTGCTCATAAGAAAATGGTCGTATGCCACTACTAAAAGTTTGGTTAGTCCATATTTAATTGTTAGGGGACCCATAACTCATATATAAATTACACATGCAAGGACAACTATTGGAGGCACAATTTTTATGCTGCTATATAGAAAATTCAGAGGAACATTAGTAAGTAGTTAGTTGCTTGGAATATAGAAAATTGGGGTTTCACGATTTCTAACTTCTAGTTTTTTAAAAAAATTCTATTGCTATAAATTTTTAGAATTTGGATGAGAATCCGGATTGTCTGAGGGGAGCTGCAGGCACTATAATCTCCTCAAACAAGAGCCTAATCCCCTACCTTAAGAGACACAGAAAGAGGTTAAGAGAGATCCATCTATTCACTAGGTGACAGATATTTCTTATCCACTACTACCTCTGTTCTATAATAATTGACGTTTTAGACAAGGTTAATGTCAAATTTTTATAACTTTGACTATCAATAACTTTAAAAATATTTAGTTTAAAGAAACTAGAACAACATGTATAGATTTGTCTTTCAAAGCACTATAATAAAAATAAACATGTATTTATTTATTGTGTATATTATAATAAAAAAATAAGGTCAAAGATATATTTTGTAGACCGTGTCATTGTCCAAAATGTCAATAAAAATGAAACCGGAGGGAGTAATCACTTTTTAACCACTAAACCAACAATAATTAGAAGTTCATTATGTAAGGAGTAAATTTCAGAAAACTGTAACTTGAGTGACAGAACTATCAGTTTACTGCAACATTAGCGACATGTTTCAGTTTGCTGCAACAATAGCGTAAGAAATTATCATAAAACCGCAACTTTAACACTATATGCTGCTACAGTTGTCACCTGTATGTACTGTAGCAGTATATAACGTAAAAGTTGTAGTTTTATGATAATTTCCCACACTATTATTGCAGCAAACTGAAACATGTCGCTAATGTTGTAGTATACTGATAGTTTTATCACTAAAGTTGTAGTTTTTCTAAAATTTACTCTTATGTAAGCATAAATAAATAGTTTTCAAAAATAAATTCTAGAGTATCATAGTTTAGCCTGAGCACGTATGCATGGGAAGCTACCCTGTTCGTTTCATATTATAAATTTTTTTATAACTTGTTTAAGCTTGACAATATTTATAGAAAAATGTACCTATGCCTTGAATACCAAATTAGTTTCGTTAAATCTAGTCTTGAACATTTTTTATTGTGGTAAAAAGTCTTTGGGATTTCATGTGAGTGTAGTGTGGCTCTGCCCCCTTCCTGCTGATCGGAGTTGCATTTAGCCGTCGTAGTAAAATTTTCTCCTTTTCCTTGCTGCAACTTTTGTTTTGTTTTTTTCTCCCTTCCCTGGCATAAACCGGTCTTGCTTATTACGTTGTGTAACAAAAATTCTTTTTCTTCTAATATATTGACGTGCAATCTTTTTACGTTCGCGAAAAATGTGTTAAACAGTCCTTTTATAAACTTAATTGAAGTTAAAAGAAGTTTAATTAAAAAGAGTTAGTCGAAGTTTATTTTAGAGGACTGTCAAACCAATCACGTCCTATAATTAAAACGTGCTCTCTGGTCAAGTGGTCCCAGTATTTCTCATACAATGATTTTCGTAGCATTAAATAATATATCACATAGATTAAAACTTGATATGTCAACCTATTAGATGAGAAAAGAGAATAAAGCAAGGTAGCAAGATACTACTACTAAACATGAGTTAAATAGTACTATCTCAGGCACATAATAATTGTATTTTTTATTTAATTTTGTCTCAAAATAATTATCACAATAGTGTACTAATTATCTCAACAATCACTTATCATTCTAATTTCTTTCTCTCACTCAGCAATTCTTATCTATACACCATTTGGTCTTTCTTCTAAAATCTTAATATATGCTAAATAATTACTCTCTCACTTTTATCTATACACAATTTAATGAGGGACATCATTTTTTTTTTCTTTTAAAATCTTATTATATAGTAAATAATTTAGAATTATAACTATTTTGGGACAAATGTAGTAATCCACAGTATGGGATAAGTAGTGGTCCTAATTAGCTTGGGAAACAATAGTTGCAGAAAATCCAACAGACAAACATCCGAACAAATCCGAATGTTTCGAACGAAATTGCTTCCCCAAGGCAACCAACAAGGCCTCAGCCAACTGCCAACAAGTTCATTGTAGCCAAAACAACATTCGTGGGCCCATACTTCCCTCCTGGGAACCCACACTCCCGGAAGCTTTGCCGAGTACTCTCTCCGGCCAAGAAAAGAAAAAAAAGATAATATCTGAGAATGAATCTGGACAAATATTTTATCTAGATTTATTTCTAGAAATTAGTTTTTTATGGAACGAAGGGTGTAGAGCGGTCAACACTACCCCA